GCTTCCGCTCCATCCGCTGGGACGCCCGCGGGGAAGGGCTTCTGGTCGACCAGCCCCTTTTCGAGGCCGAGCTCCTCGGGGCGGCGGCGGCGGGAGGAGGAGGAGGCGGAGGGGGGCCCGGCGGCGATGGGGCCGGAGGAGGAGGAGGGACCACCACCCCCGGGGCCTCCGCTGCCGCCGCCGCCTCGCCGGAGCTCTTCAAGACCACCAACTTCACCAGCTTCATCCGGCAGCTCAACCTCTACGGCTTCCGGAAGGTGGTGCTGGGCCCGCCCGCCGGAGGAGGAGGAGGAGGTGGCGGTGGTGGGGCGGCCTCCTCCTCCTCCTCGGGGTCCTCAGGCGGCGTCGGGGCCGGGGGCGGCCCGGTGCACCACTTCCACAGCCCCCACTTCCGCCGCGACCGGCCGGAGCTGCTGGTGCACCTGAAGCGCCTGACCAGCGCCAACAAGGCCAAGCTGGCCGCCGGCCTGGAGGTGACCAGCCGGCCGCCCAACCGCTTCCAGCGCCTCCTCTCCGCCTCCGCCTCGTCCCTGCAAGGCCCCGGCGGAGGAGGAGGAGCAGGAGAGGCCGCCCTCCTGGCCCAGCACCCCGGAGGCACCCTCAGCCCCGGCAACGCCACCACCGGCGGAGGCGGCGGCAGCAACCACCATCACCACCACCCGCAGCATCATCATCACAACAGCAACAACCTGGCAGGGCACGCCAAGAGCAACGACGCCAAGCCTGGTGAGAGGGAGGAGGAGGAGGAAGGAGGCCTTCCAACGGGCAACTGGACCCATCATCGCCCTCCTCCTGGCCATGTGCAGAGGGCCCTCCTTCCCAGCACCCACCCCAGTCTCCAGAAAGTGTCTGCAGAAGCACCCCCCTCTCGCAGGGCACACAACCCCCCCTTTCCATTGCAGCTCCCCTCGCTCCCAGCCCGCCGGGGCAGATGGGGTCTGTAGTCCAGCCACCCCTGGAGGGCTCCTGGCCATGCTCAGAGGGAGCCCAAAGGCCTCCAGATGGTGCTCGGACTACGGCTCCCATCGCTCCTGGAAAAGTCTGGTGGGACTTGGAGTGTGGCCCTAGGACGTGCACAGAAGCCAGCCACGGCTCTCTCCAGAGTCTCTTGGACTATTGCACCCATCGCTCTCGGCCACTGGCGGATCTGGAAGGAGGTGGGAGTCTGGCAACATCTGGAGTGCTCCCTCCTCTGCCCAGAAGCCCCCCGCCCGGCAGGGGAGCCTGTGGCTGCTCCAAATGTTCTTGGTCTACCAACTCCCATCCTTCCTGACCAAAAAAGAAAAGAAAAAAGCTGTGTTGATTCCTAGGGGGCAAAATCAAAGGTAGAGGAGGGGGATACCTTCATGAGGACCAACATGGTATATATCCTGGAGAACCTGGCTGGTGGCACAGCGGGCAAATCTGTACTTGATCCAGTTCCAAGGAACAGTTCCCATCTCTGGATTTGGGATTTTGCTCCATTCCTAAGCAGCAGTAGTGGTGCCTGAAGCTGATGAGGCAGGAGTCCAAGAGCATCTGGAGAGCCCAAAATTTCTCTTCCCCCCCCACCTCTTAAAAAAAACAAAACCAGCGGGAGTCCCCAGAGCAGCTCCCTTCAATCTGATGCTCTGCCTGCTATGCTGGCCTTCAGCTGTCTTTGGGGGATTCTGGGAAATGTAGGCCAACAGACCTGGAGGGTAGCCGATTGAGGAGGCAGCGCCTGCTACCAGTTGGAGAAAGCACATAGTATGGGGCTTTCAGCTGCTGGCTAGAGACCCGGGGAGGATCCTAGTTCAAAAATGTTCAGCAGCCTCCCTCACAGATCCAAAGCATACAATCAGGGATGCATGCGCTGTGTGTGGAGTGAGTTGCGGTCACTCAATAGAGGCACTTGCTCTCGTTATAAACACACCCTCTTCCACGGCTGAAGGTCTGGCGGGTTGGATAACGTCCCCTCGCCCGATGGCACGTGGGCGCCTCTTGAGGGCTTGTGGAGAAAGTTGAAAGCACTCTGGTCTCTTGTGTAGACATAACATTCACACCCACACACTTCCCAGTTCGCTGGCTTGCTTTTAAAATTAGGTCCCACTGGGATCCTAAATAACCTCATTTTTCCGTGGTATTGTTTTCAACACTGGCAATCCTGTCATTTCTCACATCCCCCAAACGTGTGACCTAATGTTTATTTACTTAGGAGCACTTAAGAACCAATGAGCTGCCAAAAATTTTAGGGGAGGTGTAACAAGAATAAAAGATAGAAAACACAAAACAGACTATGAAACATATATAATACACAAAATGAACTGAACCACATTTATCTGTATTTACGTAAACACAACCTTTGTTCCAAACGTACCCCAACTAAGCACCACCCTCTGGATCTGTTAACACGAAAGCATCTCACATGTTTACCCCTTTAGTACATAAACAGCTGTTGAAAGGAAGGTGTGAGGGACTCAATTTGCATCTTTATATTTAGATGCCTCTCCTGACAGTTCTTGTGTCTGTGATACATTAGTCCTCCAAAAAAGCCCCACTCCACCAGTGCAGTCCTTTGAAATACTGCTTAATGTAAATTTCCAAAATGCCAACTGTGTACATCCCAACCAAGCCTGGTTTTAATAGTCTTAGAACTGCATGTCTATGTCTTCGTTTAAAGTAGTGGTTCTCCAACCTTGGGCCTCCAGATGTTCTTGGACTACAACTCCCAGAAGCTTTCACCACCAACTCTGCTGGGCAGGATTTCTGGGAATTTAAGTCCAAGAGCATCTAGATGTCCAAGGTTGGGGACCACTGGAAAGGATCCTGGCACCTGTATTAGAGTAGTGATTTTTCACGAGATGGGCAGTATAAAAATCAAATAAAGGATTTGTAAAGAATCCATACTCAAAATCAGAACAAGAATGTCCCGGGCTCTATAAAGAGAAATTTGTAATTTTCTGTGCTGATATGTCCACAGATGTAATACCGACACCACCTTATTTTAACGAACTATGGAGAGGGGGGGTATGTCACAACATACCACAGCATCTTATGCTGCCTCTTTCTCCTAGCTTTGATAGATGCAAGGTTGTTGTTTCTAAGAAACCGCCTGCCACTGGTGAGGCGCGTCAGTAGCCCAATGAACAAGCAGCTGTTGATAACAAATTGAACCACTGTTCACCCAGGCCCCAGTTCTGCTCTTCCTCCTCTAGTTAACCGCTCACTGTCTTAAAAATAAAAACCAGTAATTATGGTTACACGTGAGGCTCTTCCCCCTCCATTCTCCCATACATGGCAGGGGAAACGTCTGACTGCACAGGATTTGGCATCAAGAGCAGGGCGTACTCTTAAGATTTAGCCCAGGGTTAAGAGGCTAAACGGAAACACCAGAGACCGCAAAGAGTCTGGTGGGCTTGTAAAGCCCCATAAATGTATAGCCCTGATGTATGGCCTATAGTTTGCTTTAGCTCGTGTTATAAAAAAAAATGGTTAGCCTGAGACCTAACAGAATTGAGGCTTTGTCCCTCTCCTATTACACCCCTCCTGCTGTGGGTCTTGCCCACTTCTCTAGAGCAGTTTTTCCACAGTGCATCTCAGGGGCACTGAATAGGGGGAAATTTCCTTTGTTGAGAGGTGGCAGCAAGACCTAATGCCAGATGCAAGGGAGGGGGATCAGGAGACAGGTATTTCGTGGTCTCGTGTGCTCCCAGATGGGTGGGGCCCCTGTGAGAGACAGGAGGCTGGACTAGATGGGCCCTTGGCCTGATCCAGCAGGGCTCTTCATAGGATCTTATGCTCAAATAGAAACTCATTGTTGCATCTTGGACTTACTTGTTGTTTTGACTTATATACTGCCCCATAGCACGTCAAGCACCCTCTAGGCAGCTTACAACATAACCAAACAATGCTTTGCCCCCAGCAAGCTGGGTACTCATTTTACATATATCTGAAACAATATGTACGCCATTCTCTCACCGTATTGGGAGACGTGAAATGGGAACCCATCAGATTTCTTTTCCATTGATAATCTTGAGGCATTTAGGAGTGATTTTGTGACATTACTAGCGTAACACTCCTCCTTTAGGTTTGATAACTTACCAGGTCTTTCTTTTCTCCTCCCCCCTGCCTCCCATACAGCGCCACTGACCTTAGGACAGTTTCACCGGTCTTTCCGACGAGACACTTTATCTCCATATTCCTACCTGTCGCCCTCGTCTCACAGCCAAAATAGCTTCCCGCTGAAAGGTTCAGATCGGACTCCTCTTCCGCCCAGAACATGGCAGAACTCCCTCGGGATGCTCCCGGGGCAGGTGGAGGCGTCGGCTTTTTCAGACAAAGGGGTTCCGTTCCCTGTGCTCCAGAGGTTTCCGACGGAGGTCACTTACACCCTGCAGCCCAGCGCGACGTCAGTGCATATTCAACAAGGGCCGCCGGCCATGGCCACCTCCTCCCAGAAATACACCAGTTATGCAGCGTCAATGCCATACTCCCAGGCTTACTACCCAACAGGTAACATGGTCTGCTACATTACTTAATGTCAGAAAATGATGGGCAAGAGGTAGACAGAGATCAGCTGGCAGAACACTAGAGAATAGGTCTGCCAGGTTGACACTGCAAGCAACAGTCCCATAACCTGTTAGAATCTGTTAGCAGCTCAGGGCTCTTCCAGAGGGAACATCTGTTTCCCCATAAAGTACCTGACCCCTCACTGCCATTTTTTCTCACCTTCCAAACACTGTAATGCTCGTCTTCTCACGTTCAGTAGCAAAAGCTGGGACTGGGATTTTCTGTCCCCTCCTGAAAGCCTGATTTATTTTTCTGACTCCTCAGGAGTTCAGAACTCTGAAGCTTCCTTTCATTTCTGTGGTTACAGTTTCCCAGGTAGAAGCTTTCAGTGTGCAACAAAGTGGAGTGGGACCTCACCCTTCCCCTCACCCCCCCCACAAGATTCTAAAAAAGAGGCCCTGACAAGCGATGGCGTCTTTTCATGTTTTTAAAAAGGATTTCTGTGTTTTGTTGGAAGAGAAACAGTTTTCTGAGAGGTTACCTCGGGAAAGACAATGAGGACGGGGAATCCCAGTAAGGGGGAAAACTGGGTGGGGAAGGAGAGGGGAGAAACTGGCCTCGTGTGTGAAAGCCTTCTGGAAGTAGATTTATATTTATCTCCTGTGGGTATTGTGGCTGATGGCTAGGAAGCGGCTCTGCTCATTTGCACTTTGCCACACACAAAGTGTGTCACGGCATCCACGTTGGCTCTTCTTGGCACAGTGGGTCCATGTTAGCTCCCCAATACATGGCAAAAGTGTGTCACAGCATCCATGTTGGCTCTTCTTGGCACAGTGCTATGGGTCCATGTTAGCTCCCCAATACATGGCATTGCATCTGATAGAATACAGTAGCAAGCATCGAAATAGAATTAACTATTTTAGATTGGTAAGATTTCGTGATTCAGGCCTCCAGATGTTTCATCTCAAAGACCTCCCACATGCTTCTAATCAGAAGGATATTTGTATATGGTTTTTTTTAATGTCACCTGCACCATGGATGCAGCAAGGCCCCTTGGCTCCTGTTGGACTTTATATTTGTATGTGTTTAATGTCACCTGCACCATGGATGCAGTAAGGCCCCTTGGCTCCTGTTGGACTTTATACTACAAAGACATGTAGTATATCAGTTCATGCGTGTTACAGATTGAGCAGGAATTCAGGGTGGGCCTGCCACATGTACCCATTCATTCATAAAAGCCAAAGCAACACAGAGGCTTTGCTTTGGCCAAGAACCACACCTGGCAAAGCCATGCTTTCTTACCAGAGTCGTAGGCCAGGTGAATCTAGAGGTGGAGGTCAGTTCAAAGCCCATCCGGGCAGAGCTGGTCATGCTCAGAACCTGTGAAAGAAAGCAATTACAGCATATATTATAATGACCAAAGAGCTGAAACACACCTATTTTTTTGGAATGTCAAAAAAGGATACAGACCTCCTCAGCATTTTTGCTTCTAGAATTTGAGAAGTTCCTCCATGCTCTTCTGCAGATTAGCTTCCTAAATATCTGACAGGCACGTAATATCTTGTTTCATGTGACTGGATCTAGTAGCTGGCCTTCTAGCCTAGGCTTCTTTTTTGTAAAAGGAGGAAGAACCAAAAATCCCTTTACCTCAGATGTTAAAGAAGAGGGAGACAGTATTATGTCAGAAACCGATTAAGTAGAGGTTCTTGGATGTGACTCTGTTTTCAGTGTGCTGCCATTATCTTCTAGAATATGGACTGAGAACATTTCTAGGCTGGAGGAAAAGCTTTTGCTGAGCTACATACCAGGATGTATTTTTAGATTTTTGCCACAAGAGAACACAGACCAAAATCAGAAGAATTGTGCAGAGCAGAACGAAGTCTTTGATCTATGCGACGAGGATTGCTATGAACAATTTGATTCATAAATACAGGATTTCAAGACCATACTTTGCAATTGTTTGGGTAGAGAAGCAAAAAGTGTCTGCTTAACAAAGAAAAATATTGCTTACACTAGAAGGACGTGAACAGAGACTCAGTCTAAACAATGTCTAACTCAACCAAAGAACAGGTTTTGCCTTCTGCCTGTATAGTTTGTCCAGTGTCCACTTATGGTTCACTATTTAAGAACTTGGTGGGGGGCAAAAAGAGATGTCATACAGTGGTACCTCGCTTAACGCTTGCCCCACATTATGACAAATCCGCTTTACGATGATCTTTTTGCACTCGCAAAATGATGGTCTAAATGGGGGAATTTTGCTTAGCGATGATCGGTTCCCTGCTTCGGCAACCGATTTTCGCTTTACAATGATCAAAAACAGCTGATCGTTGGGTTTTCAAAATGGCCGCCGGATGCTTAAAATGGCTCCTTGCTGTGCTTAGGGACGGATTCCTCGCTATACAGGCAGCGAAAATGGCCACCGTATGGAGGATCTTCGCTGGACGTAGAGTTTTTACCCCATTGGAACGCATTGAACGGGTTTCAGTGTGTTTCAATGGGTTTTTTAATTTCGCTTTATGATGTTTTCGCTTAACGGCGATTTTCCTGGAACGGATTATCGTCGTTAAGCGAGGCACCACTGTAGAGCAGAAAGCACATTAGTATTGGAAATGCATGATTAAAGCACACTTCCATGTTGGAGGATTCAAACATCAAAGGAGTCCTGTATGAAGTCCAGTTACACAACAAAGCTAGCCAGTTTTCAAATTATGTGAGCTGAGAAAAGTTCCTACTGCGTACTGAGATGCTGTCAGAGGCTAAGGAATGCATTCTTCTTATGATGGGCTATCTGTAAGGTTTGTTTTTTTGGCCGATACAGTCGGCAGCCCCCTTCCATCTGGGCATCCAGGGCTTGGATGGTCTATAAAGGATTTGATCCACGCCAGGCTGCTCCAGGACAGAGCTCCTTTCTCCGTTCTGTTTTCCTTGGAATACAGACCAGTGTCCTGCGGCAACAGAGAACTGCCGGCTTTCTGTTTTCTAGAATGAGATCTTTCTCAGCAATCCATTGAGGGCAATAGAGCTTGTACAACGGGCTCTGATCCACTGAGGAGCAAAGAGTGTCTTTCTGGAGGCAGGGCTTGCCAAGTTGACGGGGGGGGCAGGCTGCTACATTTAGGAAGAAGAAGAAGATGATGATCCCAGGCCATGACTTATAAAAACAATAAGAATAAAAAAACACAAACCACCCATCATCTGCATGCCAGTATCACACCATCAGTGGTAAATCAGAACCAGTAAATGATGACAGACCCTGAAGTATGGGGTAGTTGCTGGGTCTTCCAGAGGCACCCAAACAAGACTGTTTTTTTTAAAAGAGGTAGCCGTGTTAGACTGTGCTAGCATATCAGGCAAAAACAGAAGAAAAAATTAAAAGTGACGAAGGCCCACACATGGTGGCACCTTAAAAACCAGGCAAAGGAGGCTGGTACCAGTGCGAACCCAGCTGTTGTGGAAAGGCATTCTTCTTCTTTTTCTGGGACACCCCAGCAAGGAAGTTTTGGTCTTGTGCCTTTCCTACAACGCACCGTCCCCAGAAGTGGCAGACAGAAAGGGACACCTCTCCCAGGCAGACCCTAATAATGTGTCAGGATCTTGACTCAGGGACGGAGGGCCCACTCCCTCAAATGTTGATGCCCCCAAACTGTTGAAGGCTTCAAATGCAAGTTGAACCCCGTGAATGCAACCTAAAAGTAAAAGGACAGCCGGCGGTACAGCGGCCTCATTCGTAGGGTTTCTAGATGATGTTTCTAGATTTCTCGATAGCAACCGGGCTGCTGCTTTGTGCTTTAGCTGTGGCTTCTCTGTCGGCCTCAAGGAGAACCCCATGTGGATACGATGCATTAATCAAGATCAGAGGTTCACAAAGAGGATGGGCAGGGGGGACAGAAGGAAGCTGCCTGCCCTGGGTCTTCACAAAACTTCCCCACTGCACCCTCCTGAGCCAACCTATAGATAGGAGCAGGATCACAGTAACACCATGTTTCCACTTCCCATCTCTCAGAGGTGGTCCAGGAAGAGAACAGGCTGAGTGGCATCAAACATCCAGCAACAGAATCCGTGCCTTAACTGCCCCAGTCTGTTTCCCAGAGCAGGTCGTCGGCCAAAGGGACCAAGGCTTTTTCGGTCCTAAGCCCGAGCCTGAAAATGAGTTTGAAGGAGTCTGGATCAAATCCTTTCTCCGAGAACATCTGAAGCAGCCCGGAGAGGCCCGTCGCCATTTCCCCAGCCTTCTAATTGCAGCAGTTTGTCACGGAGTGGAAAAATACAGCTTTCCCAAGCCACCTCGCTCCACAGCTGCAAAAATAAATTCACCGTGAAATACAGTTGTGTGATTGCTACGCACCTTTTGAAACATGCCTTTTATGGCACCGGCAACCAACCGCCCAGATCCCTGCCCATTGCTACGTGAATGTCTGAAAAGGCCTCGTTTACTTTCATGCACAAAGCCGGATTCTTTGTAACTTACAACAGACACGAAAAACAAAGCGAAAGAGAAGTTTATTTATAAATCCTGACCAAAGCTTTACAAAAAGCAGGACTGTGTATACTTGTGATGGACGTGTGGGTGGGTTTGTTTTAAAAAAAATGAAATGAATAGCAAACATCAACAAGGCTAGCTTCTCTGTCATTTTCCCAATTGTGATGTATTTGCTTTTTATTTAGGCTTCTGCAGGCAGTGCAATCTGCTTCCAATATGATGGTACCTCCTCACTCACTTTTTTTTGGGAAAAGAAGACTGCTCCCACTCCATGAATAGTGAATAGAATATTGTATTATTGGTTGAATATTATGTTAACGAGCACTAGGGATTAAATACATAACCCAAAAGGGTGTGTTTCTCCCCCCCCCCCCCC